GTGAGTATGCACACTGTTGCAGCCGCTGTTGTGCTGACCTACATTGCCCTGTTCTTGCAGGCTCAAGGTGATTTATTTTTTTTTCTGCGCCTTTGCATCCAGAACTCCAGAGTCTGGCTTTATTGGAGATGGATTATGCTGTAAAAAGAAATGCATTTTAACTTCTACCATTAATGACATTGTTTGACACTGCATGGACAAAATAACACAGAGCCGGCGGCTGTCACACAGTAAGAAGACGGTGGAGAGAGTTAAAGGTGGGCGGGATGCAGACTGAGAGGCTGGCATGATGTAATGCGCTTCAGACAATGGCCAAGGATTCTCCCCAATTATCATTTCAGAGAACGAGGAGGAGCTGTTGCAGCGGTGATGTGATCACAGCCGCAGTCAGGCCTGCGTGTGTGTGCGTGTGTGTTTGCGTGGCTAATGACAGCATGATGAGGAGGTGTCATGTGAGGAACAGCTGCCCCTCCTTTAAACCACATTATTAGCAGCTATTATGGTGATTCAAAGCGAGAAAGCGCACGGTGGAGTGGAGACTCTGCATCCATCCACCTGTTTCTCACTGGCCGCGTTTGGGTAAATGAATGCAGAAATGAAAGAACACCTGCAGGTGTTGGCATCTTGTTAGAAGGTTAATGACGAGGCTGCACCTTGCAAGAATTATTTTAATATGAGGGTATTTGCACCTTTTACTTTGGTGCCTAATAGAGAGAGGCTTTATGCAAAGGCTTCATTTAACAGCTTTGTCACAAACTAGTGATGCGACCTAATTTGTCTTGTAAGCAAAACGTGTTTATTGTCTTGAGGGGAAAAGTGGCTACCTGTGGCGCCTGTTTTATGGCTTTTTAATGGGGTAGTCTAACTAATGCTTAGTCTTCCACTACAAAGCTAGTTGGAAATGTGTATTACACAAGAAGTTCAAGCTTGACGTTTACTTGCTGTTCCTGTTCACCTTGCTCTGTGCATCTAATTCAGTCTATTGATTCCAGCTTTGCATGACCTTGCTTAAGGGAGGGATTGTGGCCAGCAAAAAAGGTTAAAATGGTGCGTTCATCTTTTCATGTGCTTGCAGACTCACTTTTAGATGAAGAAACAGTAAACATAAAGATGCTCACCTGCATGCAGGTTTTAAAGTGCACTCAAAAGTAGTATGGCACTGATTAACCTCATTCCAGCTAATACCAGTCATAAAAAACAAAACTTTTAAGTATCTTTGTGACATAAAATACATTTTCATATGTCAAATTATCTGCCTTTAAACTTCATCTTAATAAGTAAGTGATCTAAATAAGGAAAATGCTGTCAAGGACAGGCTGTTGGTTGGTGTTTAGAGAAAACATACAGTTTTTAGCTTAGTTGGATTCTGTATTTATTCATATATTAGCAGATGTTTGTTTCAAATAAATCATAATGTGAAGAAGTTATTGTCCTGCAACAATCAATAGAAAATAATCAGATTTTTATCCCTGGCTCTATTTAAAAAAATGAATCATAGACATTAGGTCTCTTCTTTCCATTTTCCTGCCTCCTTTAACAGCAGGTGTAAATTCACAGCCATCATCTTCACGTCATTCACACTTACAGCTCAGACTACGACTGACATGAAAATGTTATTTACAACATAATATACAAATTAGGCACTGACTGGTACAGTGAGACTCTCATATTATGAGTTTTAAAATATTTATCAAACACTTTATTAATAATGTAACGCAGCAACAATTTCCCCCTAAAATTACATTAATTGATTCATTTATAATCATACATAAACATTTATTTTGATTTTAACTCACAATTTAAAGCTACAGTCAGTGGCGGCCGGCCCATAGGGGGCGCTGGGGCACCGCCCTCCCTGATAAGAAGAGAGAAACGTAAAATATATTTTTAGAAATTAACTCATAAATGTCAGTTTTAACAAATTATATAAACTACATTTCCCTATCTACTGTCATTAATTTGTGGATTTCCACAGACAGACTCCTACCGTCTCTGTTCTGGGGGCGCTGATCAGACTGACCCACATTTGCAGAGAATCTGTCAATCATGTACTATTGCTAGGTGAATTTAATGGCCAATCAGCGTCTCGGAACTTTATGGTATTGGGGCGCTGAAAATACTGCGCTTTAACAGGCTTCTGAACCCAAGCGCAGGTGCAGACAATTAGAGGGGAGATGGCGAATGTAACGACCGAGATGCAGCTTCCACCTAATTCGGTGAGATCCTTATTTATCTACCTGTTTGCCAGAAGAATATCCCTGTTGTAGGATATGAACATTTCATGTCATGTTTATTGTGACTGTGACGAATCCACCTCGTCGCTTAAAACAACCTCTCTAACTTTGCGCGCCACACACACATTCCTGTTATACTGTGTTTGTGAGGACCAATACACTCGCGCTGAGACCAGTAGCTCCATGAACTTAAAACACACAAGCTGTTCCTGGTTACCTGCTGGCATATTGAGGGTGCACACTTAATATTTCAGTGGGGTTAGCCGTGTGTGTGTGTGTGTGTGTGTGTGTGTGTGGGGTGGGGGGGGGGGGGGGGGGTGGGGGGGGGGGTGGGGTGTGTACGTGTTTATGCTACGGGGACTTGTCATCTTCAGTCTGGCTGCGTCTTTGCTGGGTTCAAACCCAGTTTGGTGTAATTGAATAAGTCAATGAATCTGTGTAAAAGAATTAAGTTGTAAAAATTATTTGTTTTTGTACATCAATTGTTTGTGGAGGTAATATATGGACAAAACTGATTAATGAGAAGAAATCAGAAATAAGAGAGCCTGATGTGAGGGGCTTAAACTATTTAATGAGGGCTGTGGGAAGAAAAGTGGCAATTTTTGTTTTCTGTTTCTTTGTTACATTGCTGGTAACTGGAGGGAGGCTGAGGCCCAGAGTATCTTGTATGTTTAGTTTCTTTTGCACCCTGTTTTGAGTTTTTGAGCTCAATAAATCACCAACACCGGTAACCCGACTGAGACTGGATTCTTGGAGGCCAAAGAACCCCGTCACAGTGACCCAAATCATCACTGTTACTGTTATTATATAGTAAATTAAATCATTACTGTTAAATTGTATGTATTGTCCAATTGTTTATTTGAATTCTTATTCCGGATTAGTTGGAGACATACACTAGGCTATATCAGCCCCACCAAAAATATTTTTCACCAGCCGCCACTGGCTACAGTGTGTAATAATTACAGGGATATACAGTCAGAAATGTAATATATTATACATAACTATGTTATTTATCATCATCTACGAGCTCAGCCTCTTAACCTTAATATTTGCGTTGCCTTAGAATTCGTTATTTATAATTACATAGGATCGGGTCTCGCAGCCATGGAGGCAGACATCTTTGCGCTACGGCAGCGCAGAGCCAACAAACTAGCGATTGCGAGATCGCCCATTACGCTCGAAAGTAACTACGGCAAGTTGAGAGAGATGAACTGAGACGGTACTGAACACACAGACTAATGAAATACTATCTGTAAAATTATCTATGTAAACAAACCTCATCACTTGAGAAGGTAGGTGATGCGGACGTCGTGGAAGACATTTTGTCCCGTAACGCTCGCCGTACTGTTGGGGGGGGAGAAGCGGTGGGGGGGAGATATTCATCTTGCTGCGGTCTGCAGTCTGGACGTTAGATGTCGCTGAAAATTACACACTGTAGCTTTAAGCAAATATGAAAAAGAAAAATTTACTAAATGTAATGAAGAGGATGTTAAGTTATTTTAAGGTGTTAGTTCACAACTAGATCCTGAAATAATTCTGTTTTCTGAGACACTGAGACGGTAACTGTTGGATTCTCATTTGAGACGAAAGCAGTTTGAATAATTGTTTCTTTTGTGTTTTAAATAAGAACAAATATATCAAGTTATACCTTCTTGCATTGAGTTGTTATCGGGAACAAGAAGTGCTGGACTCGCATCTTTACCTTTTCACATCTTTCACCTATGCACATACATTTCTTTCTGCTCCTCTTCAGGCTGCTAAAAAGTTATTTACAGTGAATGAGTCAAATTTTTGAAGTTCACTCTTGCATGGAAATGTGCTCCTCATTATGTGGTGAATGTGGTGTGTTCTGATGGCAGAGAAATATGGTGAAAGGAGGAGGGCAAATGGCTTCAGGTCAGATGAAGGAATATATTTTTCTTGTAAATTAAAGTGTATTTCAAGAAAATGTTTTTTTTTTTTTTTCCTTTTCCTCCAACTTTTATTTGTGGTGCGGGTACATTTTCTTTTTTTAAACACATCATATGATTTTATATAATAAACACTCTAAATTTAAAAAATATAGAACTATGTATACATGTCTAATGTTAGTATCAGTTTAGCAGTAAAATTTCATCAAAATATAAACTCTGTCTGCTAAAGCAGCCCTGCTTCCATAACTTTAAAACAAATATCTTTGAATAAAATAAAAACTTAAAGGAAAAATTACATCAAATATGTATTTTTTATTTGATGCCTGTGACTTGCAACTTCATGTGTATTAGAAGTAAAGCACCACAATTTCTCACAGTTGATAAATTTAAGCTTAAGAGCACTGAAACATTTTATGTGTTCAGAGTTCCAGAGGTTGCTGATGTTCAGCTAACACTTAAAGTGAAGCTGATGTTTCTTCCTTTTGGGAAATGTTCAAGAAATTTCCTTCGGGCGCTTTTAGGCTCACACACCCCCTAAAGACATGTATTTATGGGCTAGAGAAGCAAATCTTCTCATATCATCTAGGAAATGGCAAACATTGGATTGATGCCTCCAGTAAAGGCCTTACGGGTGTTTTGGTCACCTTTGGAAGGGGGGGAATAGCAGGTCCTTTAACTGAAACGACAGTCAGTCCCATTGACAAGATCAGTTTCCTGTTCCACATAGGAAACATCTGAATTCTGTTTTCCAGGAGCTTTCATCTGACATTGCATAACAAACACTCTGAAACATAGATAACCTTTTTGATTTATTTATATCAAGTTTTCCCCTTACTTTTATCTTTATAAATAA